TAGGATATGAATTAGGGTTTAGGTTTCAGCGTACTATTTAGGTTTAGGGAAAGGTTTAGATTTATTATTGGAAAAGGTTATGGCTTAGGGTGAGGTTCAGGGCTATTGTTAGGGTTTTTTTTAAGGTTAAGGGTTGTGGTTTAGTTTGGATTTGTCATTAAGTTTATGCTTATGTTTGGAAGTAGGCCACACTTGCATGCAAAAAAAGTTCTTCAAGGCCATTATTTTAGAACAAGTATGAGGTTCCAAGGGGTGTGGAGGGTGTAAGCAGAGAGGTGAGGATGGGCGCTGGGGGTGGGGTGGGGTGGATGTTATTCATAGGGTCTCACAATTTGATGGATGAGTCGGGGGGGTGTGATTAAAATGGGAAAGATCCCGTGTGAAAAACAATATATACCAACTTTGTAAATAAACCAGATTTTTTTTTTTTAAAAAGAGATTTGTCCAAGGAAGTCTCTAGAAATCCTCCTCAAATTTCCTTAATGTCCAATTCAGAGAACAGCTGATCCAGGTCTTGGCCAGAGCAATTATTCACTGTGAGAACTTTTAAATAATTATTGTAGTCTCAGTATGAACTTTCGCCAAGGGACAAGTGGGTGTTTTATAAATTTTTTTCTTTCCCAGAAGACAAAGTCACAGGAAATGGTCGAATGGATTGAAGGCCACCTGGAGACAAGGAGTCCAGTTCTGTCTCTAAGAAGCCCATGAATGTGGGTTTATTTCTTTCCGTAGACCACTAGGGATGTACTGAAGTAAGTAGGGGTTAATTTGTTGTGTAAGAGATAGAAAACCCATTGTTTTGCAAAAGTAAACACACAAGCCTTTCTTCCAATGAACTTCTGAGGGAACTCAAAACTTAAACCTCTAACATTTACCTTACTAGTCAGGTGAACCAACTATTTCCACCACCAAGGGACTAAAGTGTTTAGAAAGAACTTTGATTAGGATATGAGTTTTTGTTAGATGTTTTTAGAGAACATTGAAGGAATTTGTGCTTTAGGTTTGGAATGGTTGTCATCAGAGACTGGCAGTAAATCTATAATTGGGAGAAGGCAAGGGTAAAGATAAAGTTATAAAAAAGCAACATTTAATCATATTAGACAAAATAGGGAGGTGTTTGATTATTTCTGTGAGTTGCACAAAGTTCATTATTTTTCTGTGTTGTATGGGATTACCTATAACTTGTTTTCATAAGTGTATTGCCAGGCCTTTCTTCCTAGGTCATCTTGGTGTTGTACTGTTCCATCTTGGTCACAGAATGGCCTTGCTGAATGTTGATGTTCTGCGAAATTGTGTCTGTTCAATACAAGAGCCCCAAAACCTAGCTGTGACTGCCAAGTCAGTTCCTAGCAGCAACCAGGCCTAATTGATAGGTAGTGCCAGTCGGCCCAGACTTTTGGCCTAGTCGACAAAGATCTAAGTGTGGAGTATAGTCAACAGCATTTGCTGGGTGTGTCTTTAAAATTGTGTAGTGATGGGTGAAGTCTGCGGCTGGCCTGGAGGCAGCTCTGCCGTGGCTGCACTCTAGAAGTCCAGTTTCTCGCGTCTTGATGGGGGTCACATAAGGAGGATCTTGGTTTGTGTTTGGGGCTTGGGTTATTGGCAATGCAATCAATAAAGAAAGCTATATTCTTTGATGTGGGTTGTGTTATTGGTTTTTCCCCTCCACAAGCGAGTGAAAGTCAGCCCGGACTGTTGCTCTAGTGGACAAGGACCCTAGGGTGGAGCATAGTCAACATTTGCTGCATGTGTCTTTAAAATTCCAGAAGGCCCTTGGGCAAAATTTATTAATGTGAAAATGAACATTCTTTACATGTACAGCAGTTGTTTGTCTATTTGCTGTACTGAATAACTTGGAGTTGCCAATAATGTGCCATAGCTGTGTCAAATGGCATGATGGTTATCTATCTATCTATCTATCTATCTATCTATCTATCTATCTATCTATCTATCTATCATGTTACAGCTAGCATACATATAACTTATATGCTACCTATAACATATATATAACTTATATATAAAATTTATAACTTATAGATAATATAGATATAATGTATAACTTATAGATAACATGTTGTTATGTGCCGTCGAGTCGCCCGTGATTCATAGTGACCCATGTACAACAGCCCTAAATCCTGCTCTATCCTGTGCTAATCTCACTGTCTCCGACATATCTACTCTGATTATTCTAGTCACTGAATCAATCCACCTCATAGACTGTCTTCCTCTCCTGCGCTGTCCCTCGACCCTCCCAAGCATGACGTCCCTCTCCACGGATTGGTCCCTCCTTGCAACATGTCCAAGGTATGTCAGACGAAGCTTCAGAAATCTTGCCTCCAAGGAGCAGCCTGGTTTAACCCTCTCTAGGTCAAACCTGTTTGTTTTCTTAGCTGTTGT